TTTTTTTTTTTTTTTTTTTTTTTTTTTTTTTTTTTTTTTTTTTTTTTTTTTTTTTTTTTTTTTTTTTTTTTTTTTTTTTTTCTTTTTCTTTTTTAATCTTATACGCCTCTCATCACATTAATGGACGCTCTTGCTTTCCGGAAAACCGCGATTCATTTAGAAATTGTCTTTTTTGCTCCTTCTTTTCCAGTTCAGTATTTTTCTTTTGTTTCAAACTTTCACGGACTTTGCCCCCAAAAATACTTTCTTCCCCTGTTTTCCTTCCTGTTCACAAATGTTTACCCCCTCCGCCCTCCCATCATTCCCCATTTCATTGTTTTCGACACGTGAGGTCCCCACCTCGAGGAAACAAAAGACCCTGCCGAACACCTGGCTGATGATGCTTACAAAGGGATGCCTTTTTCTTCTTTTGTTCCGAAAAGTTCGGGATTGCCCGCCATTGAAAAACAAGGAAAAAATTTCTAAATTATATTCCGATTTCTAGAAGGGTCAGCAGAGGGAGGGGGTGGGGGAGATTGTTGGTGGTGGCTACAGAACAACAGGTCAAAAAGGTTATAAAAGGGAAACCCTCCCCCTGAGGTTCAATCAGTGTGAGTTCAGGGACTGACATGGTCCGATGGGTGAACAGATCAGTGGGTCAGGGGTTCAGTGTGCGTAGCCAGCAGCGGGAATCGTAACATTTGCCGAGACGAAACATGATTTACGCTGTTACGTGAGTACATCTTACAGCATATTCATATCTTCTATTATTGTAAAGTTATATTTTCATTTTTCAATTTTAAAAGTAAAATTTTTTAAAAAATTTTCCTTTCTAAATTTTAGAAAATGTTCAAAAATTTTACTTTCTGAATTTCAAAAATTTTACTTTCTAAATTTCAAAAATTTCTGCTTTCTAAATTTTAAAATTTATTATTTTTTGAATAGTAAATGAATATTAATTCTTTTATTCTTCAAAGTTCAGGTATTTTATATTTTACTTCATTATCATTACGGTCGTGCCAGTCTATACTTTTATTAATCAGTGTAGATACGTATATCCTTTGAAAAAAAAAAAAAAAAAATCGTTGAAGAAAGTAATGTTTCATAATATTTTTTTCAAGTTTTTTTTTTTTTCTCTGTAGGTTAACAATATATTGGTCGTTTTCTTCCTACTTGCACAGATAAACATCCAAAAAACGCTTGGGTTTTGATGGCGAAATCTTGAGTAATTTTCAGTGCTTAATCTGGAAAAATTGAACAAGAGTCTACCATCAAAATCCCAGTTTGTTTTAAAGAAAGTTCTTATTTGTTAAAGTAAAATTAAAAAATAACATTTTAGAGTTTTTATTTCCCAATATTTTCATGTTTTTAGACTTTAATTAATGATTCTTTTTTTTTCAGGTCATAGTTTTGCATTGAGAATTTCATCAAAACGGGTGAATGAACACAAATAATGCCTAACTCCTCCGCGACGTTCGGAAATTTTCGATAATATTTTACTTTGTTGAAAGAAAAGTAACCGATGCATCTCTCTCAAATTCTGTAAGAATATGTGAATGGATATTTGAATATTGAATGAAGAAAATTCTCAGAAATGTTAAGGAAATTATGCCGATTAGTTCTGGTTTAAGAGAATTAAAACAAGAGCAGTGATTTACAACGTCACAATCAAAGGTGAGTAATCTTATCCTTCAGCTATCGATATACTACTTCTTCTTAAATTTTAAATTAAAAAAAATAAAATAAAAAATTAAAAAAAGCAAAGGCTATACATTTCCAGCATACTGCCTGTGATGTCTGTGTGTGTGTGGTTTTAAGGTGATTTGATGGACGCTATATTTTTTGTCAGAATGACAAGTGATATATCCCATCGATCAGTTCCATTTTTTCAGCTACTTGTCATTTTTCTAGAATTTTGAGATCGCAATTCTATTGTCAGGAGACTATAAAGAATGCACTTTCAAATTTTGACAAACAAATCCAACGTAATGAAGCCGTGGATTTTTTGGAGGAAAAATATCGCATTCGATACTGATATTAGAACTGCACTCAAATGCAATATTTTTCCTCTAAAAAAACCACGCCTACACTATGTTGAATCTATATGTTAAAATTGGTAAGTAAATTCTTTAGTCTCCTGACAACAGAATTACGATCTCAAAATTCAAGAAAAATGACGAGTAGCTGCAAAAATGGAAGCAGTCGATGCAATACATCGCATGAAGTTCTGACAGAAAATATGGTGTCCATCGAATCACCTTAATTCATTTTCTTAGACTGGATTTGTTTTCCTCTTCAAAAGCTTCATACTGATTTTTCTTTCTCATTCATATATCTTTCCTACATTGACAAGAGACAGGGTCAGGGTGGAAGTTAATTTTCAGTATACTAATTACAAGTAAAATTGCATTCCAGCATTATTACTTTCCTGTCAAAAATCATGCTAAGTTTTCTCTCGGTGTTGTTTTTTATCTTCATTCATTTTCTTTTCAGATCAGCAAGGAAAGAACTCGGCGAAAGTAGTTTTAGTTTAGTAGCGATGAAAGCCAAATTCAAGATATTGCTAAATGGACCAAGATGCGCCAGAAAATGTGGTCGGAACATGTTGAGAGGATGGACGGGGAAAGGTTTGCCAAGATTTGTATGGTGGGACGACCTCATAGCCAAAGGCAACCCGGACGACCGCCCAAGAGATGGGCACAGAGCTGCCTTTCATCCCCGGAGTGATCTCTCTCATCGCCATCATGTTTTATTTATCATATTTATATACTAATAATTTAGGGGCTAGACAAACAGGGTCACGGCCCTAGTCAGAAGTTAGAAGAAGACGATCTTTCTTTCAGATCGACAAGAAACGAGCGTAGTGAAAGCTATTTTACTTACTTTCATTTTGATTTTTTTACTTTTATTTCATACACTTTCCTTTTATTAATTTTCATTTTTCCATTTGTTTTTCTTTAAATCTTTAAAAAGCATCCCCTCCTACACCATTTGTAGTTAAATTACATTGTGTGATTGAGAACTAAGAATTCCGACACTCTCATAAAAGCACCCATCTGTATCGGGAAACTAACTGCTATTGTTTCTGATATGATACAAAATTAGCAGTTCCTTATTGCAGATGATTATTGCCTTATTGCCCACTGCAAGCATTGACAAGTCTAATTTTGATTACTGAATGGCACATTAATTATTATGTTTGATATTAATAGAGATTTTGGCATGATTTACCACCAATTACCAGAACAGTTCAATTATTCTGCATTTGGAGAGCACATTAAAATGAAATGACTACATAATTAGTTGCTCATAGAGTAAATAGTGAGATAGAAAAGACAAAAGTAAAAAGCAACAGCATTAAGTTCCAAATAAGTAATGGATTTTTCATTAGAGTAGTACACGTTAATTTGGCATGATCAAAACTGTTTTACTAAAATTTGTATTTTCATGTTAGGATAAGGACTAATCATTCCTTTTTTTATTTTTAGTTTGTTTCAGGTCTGCAAAAAACGAAGAAAATGCTCTCCATGATGAGTCACTGAGGACGGAAGTAGTGCCCTCCAAAATGTGTATTGGTTGTTTTAAATTTATCAATCGTAAAATTGATTTGACCAATTTCTAATTAATTTCATATGTAACATCTAAAAGAATAATCATATTTTAAAAGTGTTGCATCCTTAAATTGAAAGCACTTAGTTTTTTAAGAAAATTTGAGAAGTATTTACGATTCTTCCAAGTTTTGCATACATATAAATATCCCAAGTAAAAACATAAGTTGAGCTATTAGCCGACTTTACAAAAATAATATGCAATAATTGTGACTCAGGCCATGCTATAATAAAAAACAATGCACAAGAGTGTGCGTGTGTGCGTGTGTGTTTGCAAGTCCGCTATGTGAGGGTAAAATTGTAAATATATTAACATCCTCTAGCGAATTGTTTTTTTATTAAAGCATGGCCTGAGTCGCAATTATTGCATATTATTTTTGTAAAGTCGGCCATAAGCTCAACTTTTGTTTTCCCATTATGAGAAGCCGAAAACAAAAAAATCTTGTTATTCCAAGTAATACTAATATACAATAGCAGTGCATTCGACTGAAAGTAATTACCTGCATTACGCAAAACGAAATTATTTTTTCCATTCACAGTAAAAAATACATGAGGGCATCAATTTTTCTACATAAGTATAAAAGTGTCAGAAAAATTAGTTTCTTTTTGCGTTATGCAGTTCAATTATGCAACTGAATGCAAACTTGTGATTGATGATGCATGATGTGAGTACTCTGAAGACAGTATCAAACTACAATTTAAATTAAAATTTGATAGAAACAATTTTAAATTTGATTAATTTTGGCAAAGTGCCTTGACTAAAATTTTGATGAGAGAACTGGACGAATTTATGCTAAAAGGAGCTATTTTGCATGCAAATCCCATGCACATACTTCCTTTTCCCGTAGCTCCGTGCAACTAATTAATGGATGCTGAACTTTGAACTTTATTGAGGGACTATATGACATTCAAGAAGCCCGTCTTGTCATCAGTTGTAAATCATACTAGTAATTCTTGATTTTTCTTGTTTGTTTCAGAGCGGGAACGAAGAAAGAAGACGCGGCTGAAGAAGCGGGGGCTTGGGGGGAGGGCTCGCTGAGGGGGGAGGTTCCCGGGGAAAGGGGGG